TTTCTTTTACTTCTCTCTCTCTCTCTCTCTCTCTCTCTCTCACACAGAAAAGTGCTGGGCTTGGTTATTCACCTATAGTCTTCTATAGCTAATTTTCACAATGGCTATACTCTCTGCAGCCATTTTGTTTCACTAAGTTGAGCCTTTCAATGGAACAAATTTGCACTCGACTGCTTTGCCATTCAAATTATAACATCAGACATAATACACACTAGCACTAAATATTTTAAAATCTAGGATTCAATATCATCTTTTAAAGGCAGACACTGCCTTTATCCTTGTCATGAATAGCGAATGGAAGTTTTTGCGTATCATCACTACTATCTTGATTTTTCTTCACTGTTTGTCACATAATCAGCATATCCACAATAAAAAAAATTGTTTGTTTTTTCTAATTTTTTTATCAAGGAATATGTCATTGTATGCCTCTCCATATTTTTTCAGGTTACTTAAAAGCTCAATTAATTGCTTGTGATGGACCTTGTGATGTCGCACAAAAATTCTTAACTAGAGACAGTACCAAGTCACTCATCTTTATACAATAATCAATACTTTATAATTTCCTTATGTAAGACAAAATGACAAATGTTTCACCATGTTTTCAACTCGATCTCTAATGTTCTCATTACTGCACATTGTAGTCCAACAATTCTCCTTTAGGGTTATATACAGACTAAAACTTGATTCGTCATTCATCTCTCCTGCTTTTTCCTATATAATTCAGTGATCCTACTGTTTTATAGCGAACTATGACTATCTTGGACATCAATCTGACCCACAAAGTGTTATCCCACTCAAAGGGTCCATAGTAGCTCTACTTTCTTTGAACCAAAATACTTGTTTTCCTGGGCTTACCATGAGTGTTTATATATCAGGATAGGTTTGTTGAATATAAGAATGCAGTCTCATTTGTAATGACCATCACAAAACTACTATCAGGAGCTCTATCAATTGACCTGTACATTTGTATCCATGCAAGAAAAAAGCTCTCCATATAGGTTTCCTACACATGTTCCACTGCTGTAGAACATAGCCAGAACAAAAGTAGAGTTGTGCAATGGCAGCCAATTGCATTGCTGTCACTCACAAGATATGGCCTAACTTTGTTATATGTGATCTGTGCACTCCAGCCAAAGTGATCTCAATCAAGTTATGTTGAGTACTCTAGATATGGACTTAGTTATCCACCCATTCAGCTGAAGTTTCTTTCTTTTACTCTCTCTCTCTCTCTCTCTCTCTCTCTCTCTCTCTCTCTCTCTCTCTCTCTCTCTCTCTCTCTCTCTCACAGAAAAGAGCTGGGCTTGGTTATTCACCTATAGTCTTATATAGCTAATTTTCACAATGGCTATGCTCTTTGTTTGTCTTTTTTCCTTTTCGACCAGCTCCTAAAAGTTATTCACCTGTTTATTTTCAGTTCGTACCTATCTAATTTGTCCCTCTGTTTTTTGTAGGTGTAGTTTCTTTCAGAATTCCAAGAAAAGGATGTTCTGTACATTCTTTGATTTTGTGGGCTTACATTTCATGTAAAATGGCGTGTGTAGAATTTCATTGCAAGATCTCCTGATAGAAAACATGCAACCTTAACAAGAAAATTTAAAGTATCAGTTTGCAGAGCACAGTCAGACTAGTCTGTGGCAGAGACCCAAAGAATGGCATCTTCTTAGCAAGACCGCCTAGTGCCTTTGGCCTACTGATCTAGGTGATAATCTTCTAAGCATTGATATAACTGCTCTATCTAAAGCAGAACAAATAGATATTAAGAGATAAATTAGAGTTCAGTTTCTTAGCCACTCAAGTAACAGGAAATAGGATAAACTTGAGATTGATGTCCATGCCAATGAAACAAGAATAGAAGGGATTTAGAACCTGATACCATACTCATGCTTTTCATTTTGCATGATGTACATAATATAGCTTTTTCTTTCTGAACTGTCATACTTAATGAATAGGTTCAAAATTTTCACCTTGAAAACAACCTTTTTTCTTTATCATATCCCTAAATACCAATCCAATCCACAGTGCTGTGGCAAGTATTCTGATATTACATTTCCCCATGTTTCTTTAGTTGCTGAAGCCTTTGCTTTTGCAGTTGAGATTTACCCAACACTCTTTGGTTCATTTCTGAGGATGTAGACTCAACTCAATGAGATCAGCAGCTGTATGTGGTGGTACAAGCAGATGCTGAGCATCAACCTCCGTTATCAGGTGAAATTAGATGATCATGTGATGACTGCCTTAATTGCCTGTAAGGAATCCGGATTAGATAATAATTTCTCATATCTAGCCAACAAATAATTTATCTGCAAATTTATTTAATATGAGCAGTAGTGTGATAATTATAATCTAGGATGAAGGATGGTTGTTTATTTGTCTGCAAGAACAAGTGGTAATTTAACATTCATGGACTGGTTCTAGCATGGCTCATGATGGTATTAAAGCCGAGATAAAAGGATGTAGCAAATCATCAAACATCTTGAAAAGTTTTTTGATCAATTATGTTTGATAAGTTACATAAGAAGGACAATGATGATAGAAGCACTGCATGTTGTTGTTATTGTGGTTGTGTTTTCATTCTTTTATGAAAGTTTGGTGAAAGTAGAACATCATGGGGGCCGCCATAGCAATAGCCTATGTATTATTAGATGTTTCTTTATTCTTGAAGGATTGCTTAATCGTTTTCTTAGTGAATTAATCATATTTTAGTTAATTAATTAATAGATGGATTATTCATGTTTTATTGCTTGACTGAGTAATTCCTTAACATAATCATCCTCAATAATCGAAAATCCAACATAGGTTTTAAATTCTTAAAATCAAGCTTTTTCTTAATCAAAATCTCTTTGAAATAATCACTGGCAAACAAAAACTTGGACTTAAGTTGTTTGCTGTAAAATGACTTGTAGATAAGTGATCTAGGTTAGTGTTGTCATAGTATGTGAATTGTGATGTGGTGGATTCTTGACTGAAATGTCTGACAGCATCAAACAATTCCTGAAATGAAATCATCTGAAAGGCAACTCAATGTCTATAAACTTGCAAAAGAATTCTGAAGGTTCTCTGAATATGATTCTAACAAGGAAGAAACTATACAGTATCATTAGGAAATTCCTCTAGTGTGTCTTTGCTTTCTCTGAATTCCATGTGTTTGCCTGAAAGAAGAACACTCCAACAGTGAAGTATCCATGGTATGAGCAATATAGGAAACTATTGGTCCTCCTTTCAAGTTTTGTTGCTACTTACCATTGCTAGATAATATCCTCTTTGGTATGCACTATCTAAAAATAGTGTCATCTGCAAGACTGCAATGGTGGCATTATAGGTTTAGAAGTAAACCTGAAATTGGAGTTACTTACCAAATTAATGATTTAAACAACAGAAGTGGAGGCCTGGGAAGTGCATGCATAACCTGTAAGCATGTTGATGATTATTCCAATCATCATCCCAGTCAAGTCATTATCAGGTGAAATGCGAACATGGTATTCGGTCTTTTGCTTTCGGAATCTGTCCAGTAGCACATAATTATATTGAAAATGACATTATAAAAATTATATTGATCTATCCCCTGAATTCTGGAAAAGGTTATACCAGAAGGAGACAAGAAACTAAAAGAAGTCAAGGAGATGATTGTTAAGTTGCTCAACTCAGGAAACTTGACAAAAATGCTTACACTTGCTATGTATAGAAATTTCTTTCTTGTGTTGGTAGCAGTATAATTTGGAGGTTGTGCATACTTACCTATCTTTTATTTAAATTAAAAACCATTTTCTGTATCAGTTTAAAGAAGTATACTTTTGTCATGCAGCAGAATTTTTTCTCCGGAGTTTACTGAATCTGCGTGCTCTGGGAGACAGGAATGAATCAATTCGATTAGGTGTCATCAGATACATGTGAGACACCAGCAGCAACACTAATTAGGTTCACAGTCTTTGGGTCCATCTCTTGTTGCAACAGTTGCTACTATTCCTCATGGCTCAAGAAATGTCATTTCCACTGCAGATGGCAATGGGTTGAAGGAAATCCTTGCTTGTGAGTACAAGTTTGCCAGTGGACTACATAGATTTTGCTTGAACTCGAAACTTCATCCATATCTTTCCCAGGCCAGAAAACTTTTGGGAGCAGGTAGAACAAGATAGTTTGATATGGACAACGGACGGCGTCAAACCTACCCTACTACTACTACTACTAATTCAAGGGATGTGAGTTGTTTCAAGTAAGAAGATGACCTCATGAACAGTCTCTGGAGTGGGCAAGACCTATTCAGTTCAAAGAGGAAGCACCTAACACCAGACAGACATAAATAGGAGGTCATAAGAAAACTACAAGAAACTTGACATTCCATTATTGATCTGCCAGACTACTTCCCCAAGTACTTGCCATTGTAGTCTGTGGTTCATTTGCCACCGTTTTAGTTGTGAGGATAGGATATGCAATATTATTCTGTGAGATGGAGTAACTTTGGTCTGAATTCAGGCAAAAAAAAACAAAGAAAGAAGAAGAAGAAGAAGAAGAAAACCCATGGGTTGCAGCATGATTAGTAGGATCAAAATGGTGTCAGACGTTAGCCCTGGGATCTCATGGAGCCCATAGCCAACCCATGGGTTGCAGCATGATTAGTAGGATGAAAACTAGCATGTTTTAGATTATTATTTTCTATGTTATTTATGCATAGACTGAAACGTTAGTCATCTCATCACCTCAATAGAGAGTGTTAGTGGTGGGAGAGCCATCCATCATGAGAACAAAAAACACAGAGCTCCCAACAGAGTCGAGACAAACCGTGACGATTATGAAGGGTGGATTCTGCAATTCTTAGTGGCATTTCACATTAAATGCATGAATGTCCACAACCATTTTCCCTCACAAAGGCAAGGCTAAGAAAGCTTCATCTCCATGCCTTGGAATTTTTGTTCTTCTCAAAAAAGTCAACTGATAATGTAAAAGAGAAAAAACCTGAAACTGTATTATCAACAAGAAAGAAAGGGGGGTTGGTTGGGAAGAAGCAATCTACTCTCCATCAATCCACCAATTCACATCTCTGCAACTCGATCGAGTCAGTGACTGCTCACGCGCAACAGTAGAAAGCCAGCCAACATCACACGCCTCGCCAAGCTTCTTCAAGTGCTCTTGAAGGCTTGTTGTATCAGCAGGGAGAACCCCGACGCGCCGCCTTGCTCCCTGTCCACCGTCTCCTCCTCCAGCCACAGCCTGCTCTCCAACGCGCTCCGCTTCCGGAACATGAACACCGCCCACCCGGGCGCGTTGCCGAACCTCCACCCGTGCATGTCCCACATCATGTCCACCGGCGACCCGTCGATGAAGAGCGTCTGGTTCCCCCGGAAGTTCCACCGCAGCCGCCTCACGTGCACCACCCGCTTCTTGTCGACCGTCACCGACAGCTCTGACTCCTTGGCGTCCCACCCGTCTTCCTTGCACCTGATGGTGATCTCGTGGTCGCCGCCGTCCTCCCGAAACCGAGCTCTCGTGGAGTGAAGTCCCTGGCCGATGACCTGTTCTTTCCGGCTGATCATCGAGGATTCCGCGACCGGAAGCGCCTCCTCGAACCTTCGCGTGCATTCTTCGCTCATGTCTCCGAGCGACAGCGCGAGCTCCGAGTTCACGACCATCACGACATAGAACCCATCGATCGGCTCCGGACCCGATCCCAACTTAGCAGAGGAAATGTCCCAGTGAAGTCGAACGGCGCAGTCCCCGGCGGCGTACGCTCTGCTGCCCTTCTTCTTCCTCAGCAGCTGACAGTTCATGGCGTTTGGCTCCCACCGGTCGACCGACGGGTTGTCGTCGATGCCAACGGAAAGCATGGGGCCGGCATGCCCCTTGGACCAGGCGACCCTGATGAGGAGCTCCCTCTGCGTGGCGATCAGCCTCGTCCGGTAGAGGCAGGTGACGGCGCTAAGAACCGAGCAGCTGGTGTCGACCACCAAGGAGTTGCCGCCGCCGCTGCTGCTGCTCCCCGAGCAGGAGGGCTCGGAGACTTTGACTGCGTGCTCGCTGAAGCATGAGGCGAAGTTCTTCATGGACGGAGGAAGGAGAAGATGACCGGAAGGCAGGAGGTTCCTCTTTGCTTTGCTCACCATTGTTGCTCTTCCGAGGTGCATGGAAGCAGAGCAGAAAGGTAGGGAAGAAATATGCTTGCCGTTGCTTCTTTCTTTCTTCTTGCTTTTCATGTCCAGTTCATGTGGAATCCAAAGAAAAGAAGGCTTGAATTGGTTATGGACTTGGTCTAATTTAAGGTCCTTTTCTTGTGCAGTGGCGAAGAGTGTGTCGAACAAGACATCAAGTAAAGGTAAACAAAGTCTTAGAGCCAAGGATGATGTGAGAGATTAGAGGAGCTCACGAAGAAGAAGCCAGGGTCCACCGAATACCATAAACAAACAGTAGAACCACCAACACCACCACCATAGGCGGAATGACAAGGCTTGTCATGTTCTCCGAGGAATGCAGTGCGGTCATCACCACCTAAGAGAGCACAGAAAAAGAAGAGTTACATGAAGTCAAGCATCAGCAATGCCGTGCTCCTCCTGAGAAGAGAAAACTCCATTGCTGGTGACGTTGCATTGTGTCTTTCCTTGGTTCATGGCAGGAAAGCTCGTCTTCGTTCTCGTGTGACCAAAGATGGGTGAGAGCAAGCGAGGAGGAGACTTCCTTCCATGGCGGCATTAAGCGTTGCTCGAGGGACTGAAACGGAAGGGATCACAAGAGAACAGTGCTTGTCTCGTTCGCGTGGCACAGAGACCGGTAGGTGCATGAAAGGGAGGCCATGCTTTCTGTTGTGTCGACCGAGACAGGAACCAGGAAATGGAGCGCATTACTATCCAGAGAGGCGAGGGTCTCGGCCGCGAGGTGCGGCCACATTAAAGGGCATGCGGAACCCTGTTGGCGGTGCGACAGGGAGATGAGAGGGAAGGGGGTCCTGCGGACAAGAGTGCAGTTGAGCAGTTGATTGTCGAGGACCATTCACCATTTGTTCTCTCCCCATTTATTAGGGATATAGAAAGCTTGAGATGGCAGTAAGTTTCCCATTCCCTTGGGGAAAATGAAGTCTCTCTCTCTCTTTCAAACAAACATTCAACATTTCTCTTTGCATACATACTATTCGATGCAATAAAAAAAAAAAGGGAATAAAACAAATCCATCAATAATATATTTGACTGACTCAAATTTGCATAAAAAAGGAGCAAAATTGTCCAAAGGTCTCACCACCACCATCTTCTTCTGATCGACAGCATTGCTGTTTTATTTGAGTTATCCATTGACTTCAACAAAAAGTATAATAACAAGCCATTGAATCAGGAGGAAGAGCAGAGAGATTCTCCGACAAATCCAATTGGATATGACAAGAACACACAACTGTAGCTACATGGACACTGCCATCTCAGCTCGTTGACACCTTGCAGAACGATGCATCAGAGCTTCCCCAAACCCTAGTGATTTGAGTTGGGTGACACAGAACAAGATTTCGAAGCCTTACACACGACTCGGTCATCCGCAGACACTGTCGTAAGGCAAGCAACATGAAATAATGCAGCTAAGGATGCATGCATACATACATCAGCTGCTCTTCCCACGGTTTTCCCCCTCTCCTCACCACCATCTTCTTCTTGCATGCCGTGGTGACCAAACCCAACATGTCACAGCTTGCAGACAACACTTCTACCCTCCCACGCAACCTTCAGGTCAAAGGTCCATATAGTTTGGTGGAAATTAGGTGTTGCCGCAGCAATGACTTCTTCTTTATTGCCGAAGCCCATCCTTCCTTGCACTCACGTTGTCCCTATCATCCTCTACTGTTGTAATAATGGTTATTAGTCCTAAGCTGGCCAGCTATTATCCCATGTTCATCTCCCCATCTTCGTCCTTTAAAGAGACTGAGTCATGTTCGGTGCTACATGTCCTATTCTAACACAGCATACTAACTTGATGTACTCATCCACACATTTATTTTAATGAACCTGAACCGATCGTGACATCGCTTTAACCAAGAACATGTGCAGAGATGAGAGAGCAGGCTGCCATTGGATCTCAAATTGGCTGGAAAACGAGTGACAAAGAGGACGATGAGTTGCTTGTGGAACAATTGCATCAGCTGCCACTGATATCACTCGATTGTGGAAGCGCAACTCATTGTTTGATTCTTGTGAGAACTGAAAACTAAGCTTAAATCATATTAAATTTTTAGGAAAGCTTTAAAATGGAACATGAATGAGTGGTAATGATCCCATCTCGAGTGATGCTTTAACAATGATGCTATGAACTCCATCCATCCAAAAATTTCCTTTGGTGTCATAGAATTTGGTACAAAAGTGGGTACCATGTTTCCTAAAAGAATTAGGCAACATGTGGTGGTGCCAAGAAAAGATGAGAATCATCACTTTAGTGAGAGGAGGCTTTTCACATCCCCTCTTCACCACACACACTCAAGCGAACACCTATAGGTTTAACAAATAATTATGTTGGAGTACTATTCTTCTCTTAATCAATTGTCGGGATTAGTTTGATTATTCTTCTCGACGTAGGTTTTCAACTCGGATATCTATGCGGGCCGAAGCCCGTGGTTGAGACATTGAAGGTTCACAATTTGAGATTTGTTAGTAGATCATGAAGAAATTAAGTCTACATAAATAAGTATTTTTCAAGTTAGTAAAGTTGTCCGATGGATGGATAATCGATCTATAATTTTGTTGAGCTCAAGTTAGTGGTAGCAGACCCATCTAATCCATTCTTAATAGGGCACGTAAGGCCTAACATAATGATGATTCCATATCATGACTTGTCTTCTAACTCTATCTACGGATACTCCTAATCTACCAAAACCCCTTTCATCTTGCCTAACAATAGAATGACTGATACCATTTATCACGATATGATTCGATGGGATAATCAACCTACTAATTCTTTCGAATCTAAATATTTGGTCAAGCATAAGTTATGTTTAGCCCTCGTTTAAGTTTTTTTTCCACTTTTAATATAAAAATAAATCAGGATATTATAATGTCAATATTTATATTTTGATTAAGCAATGATGATATTTTGGTGACATATTCACTCATCACTATTCTTGTTATAGAGGTTATAAGAAGTCATAATATTGTCTCGGATGATAAAAGCCATATTGTTTATCTTTGCACATCAAATAAATTAATTATAAAATTTATTTTGGAATGATTGATGATGGTAACAACATACTCTTAGTAAGGAAACATTATAATGGTACAGATCTTATAAGACTAAATAGAAATTATATAGAAGTATATATATAATGGCTTAGATAAAATCAATTTGCATGAAATTAATGGGATGAGAACTCCGAAGTCCCAAATCCGAGCTTATCTTTGTTTTAGGAAAGAAGATTCGGAAGTCATATAGAAGACATGCACCAGCTTTATTCCTCATCATGATAGCAAGCACCACCACTTCAAGAAAAGTGGGATTGGATGAAGGAATGTTGGCAGATTTATTAGATAGAGCACGAATATTGAAGAGCCA